AACTAAAGAAACACAAAAGTATAAAAACACTTTTTTGTAAAATCAAGTGCAGAACTTTGAGAACTTTTCGGTGTAATTCCCATCTATCGAAAAAGATGTCAACTTCGATGATACGTAATCATTTTTCCCAACCGCATTCCTTCTTTCAGGATTTTTTTCTGTATTGTAAGACTAATTTCATAAGTTTCTGTTTTTCATAACGGTTCACAAATATTGTCTTTGAATCTCAAGAATGCCGAAAAGTTATTTATCAAATAGTGAAAATCTACAAAGAAGTAACAATACTTTTACACTCTCTTAAATTTAAAGATGAATTTTAGTGAGAAGACAAGTACTTGATTGAATTTCCAGATTATATTTTACAGACAAAGAAAATATTTTGAGAGGTACATTATTGTATGCTGTATTTCATTGACAGGCGTTGTGTTCGTGTTTAGGGAATGGAAAAGATAAATGTATATTTTGTGTTTCAATCTTCTCAAGGAAGCTCTAATATTTAATGCTAGGTGGCTGAATGTTCACATTGCATTATTTTTATGCGGAAACAACAGAATAAGAACACAAAAGTCAGAAAAAGCAGACTTTTAGTAGAAAACGTATCATCAGGAACATACGAGCATTACGAAGGAGCATCTTTCAACACAAAGGATAAGGAGAGGAATTAATTTCATGTGATCAGGAAGAAACCTGCCCGAGAGTAGGATTTCTAGCACTCTTCTCAATTCTCCTAACATTAAGTACTCTACAACTACAATATAGGAGGGCGAGGAAATACGCGGAAAGATTCAAGATAAATGAATGGTGTATTTCATCAACTAAGGCATGAGTCATCTTTATTTCACGTTAAAACCAACTCAAATCAGTGAGAATTGAGGCATTGTCATTACTCAACAACTACTCATATTTTTAAGTGGATTTAAAGATCTAAAGATTGAGCATTCATTGCATTGAAAAAAATATTTGCCTTTAATATCACAGAATAAAGACAGATTGGACAATAAATTTGAACTTTGCAATTTTGAAAATTCCTTTGCTTTTAATGAAATAAATCGATGTTGCATATTTATTTACAAATACAATCTCTTAAAAATAAATACACATCACTCTTGCCTATCAAAACAGTAAATAAAAAAATACAAAAAGTGTCACAGTATTCAGTGTTTCATGTAAAGACAGCAAAAATTAAAATATCTTAACGATCTCCGGAATGGGGCAATCTGACATGTTGAACAATTTTAAGCCCAAAAGATACTCAACATTTATGCCTGACAAATTCATTCATACAGTTCGACATCCCGATTTTGGGGTCCAAAATTGCTTGTAATGACACTTACACAGAGGCATATCTAGGTATTCAGGTGCCCATGGCAAGAATAGAATCTGCTCCCCCGTCAGGTTCTGCAAATTGGGGATGTTATTTGTTTTAGGGGTCTGCTCGAAATAGCGGCGCCGTGAGTGCTGCTCATGGTGCGTGCCAAGTCTGCCACACCATAGATACGCTCTGCACCCGCAGCAAAATTAACAATCTTTGTATCAGCACTAAAACTCTTCATCCAATTAACAGCTCAAAAGCACTTTAAACACGAATTGTACGACCGAATATTCGCGATTGTACTTTTCGAGGCGTTTCCAATACTTTTTCTCCCTATACTATAATATTGGGATGAAATGCAGAAAAACACATGTGACGGGAAGATATATGTCTAGAAATTTTCAATCTTTCTTTTATGGATCAAAGAATATAACGGAAACCTGCTCGAGATGATGCCCCGTAGCTAGAAATACAATGCAATACGAGCAAACAAAGATGCTAAATGGGATTACTGAGAAAGAGGAGGAGGAATAGGGTAAAAAAGGATTTGGGTAAGAAGGAATGGAATATTTATTTATATTACGTTAAAATCCACTTTAAACTGTATTTAACTTATTATCTAGGGGGAGTTGTGCACAAGTTACTTGTGCTGTCCGGAAGTAAAGCAAGAGATACTCTCAACCTTTCTTTAAGGGGTCAGGGAAAACTAGACGATACTCTTCTCAAGATGGGACTCCCAGACTCAAATGCATCTACTTCATAATGTAAGATGTTAGCAGAGAGAAGAGGATTGTAGAGGAGCACAGAAAAATGGATTTGGGAACGAAAATAAAATAAAGATGAGATCTTTATTTACTTCACGTCAACAAACAGGAAATCGCAAAACTCCAGAAACAATGCAAGGGTTCACCTGAGCTTTTTCATCTGTTGATCAAATAATCCTGAAGATGTCCTGTTCGAGATGGTCCCAGATTCACAGCCTCAAAAAAGGGCCTCAAAAACATGAAATGCCTGTCCGGATGGCCGAGATCGTTAAGGCAGTAGTGCCGTAGCGATCTCGGACCGGAGGATTGCGGATTCGAGTACCGCCTCGGGCATGGTTGTATTCTGTTCGTCCTTTCACCCCCTACCGTCATCATCATATCGTGTCAGCCTCATAGTTACCCTACCATTACAGGCAATAGTGGTAACGAAATATCCGTCAAGTAGATCTTCTTTCTTTCATTAAATTCATCGTTTAAGTGTTTATTATTTTACCACTGTAATTTGTAATTCCGTCAGTGTAAAGAGGGGGAGGTTTCATGACGCGAACGTACACTAGAGACGTTTGAAGCATTTGTAGGAAACTGCCCAAGCTGGGGATAAAGTAAAAAAAAGCTTGGCGTAGGTTGAACGGCGAGGGTGCGGCGGGAGGCCCTGACCTCGTG